GAGCCAGTGCCAGGGGACCCTCGGCGGGCCGCCGCCGGCTCAGCCCGAGCCCGCAGTAGGACGCAGCCCGGCCAAGGGTCCCTGCCTGGCCAAGCCTCCCTTCCCGGCAAGCGATCCCTCCTCAGGGGCCCTCTCCCAGCGCTGGTGACCCCAGCCGTGTGGCACCCACATACATACATGTATGAACCATAGTTCAGATCATCCTTGAATCAAGGGATTACCAATCAGGACTTAAGTATACAGATACTGTATACGGTATATACCTAAGGATCTGTATACTTAGGTATACAGACAAAAATGTATATCTGTATACACATACACATCCATATATATATAAGTACTTACATCATGATTAGTAATCCCTTGATTCAAGGATGATCTGTACCATGGCTCATATATGTACGCACATATGTATGTATGTGTATACGTACACACACCATACATAAGCTTTTGTGAACCCAAGATTAAGTTTAAGACAGCATCTGATGAAGGAAGCTTGGGCTCATGAAAACTTATACTATGTATCTCTAACAAATGTACCGGTAATGTCTTCTCTCCAAACAAGGGGCATTTGGCAGGGTTAGCACCACCACCAGCGCCACCTTGTTTTGTAAATTGCATATTACAGAAGTGTAACTCAGCCGCGGCTTTCTGCCCCACCAGGGCTCTCTTGCAATTTGAAAGATTATGAAAGCATTTTCTCTTGTCAGGATTACACAAAGCTGGGCACCAGCAGAGCACCCTATACTGAGCAAGGCACAAATGAGAAGAGTTCCTGCCTCTCGCCATTTACCATGACAAAGACAAGGAAGGAACAGAAGGCACTGTGAAACTTTCAGGAGGGAACAGCTTAGGAGAAGGCGTAAAACTATGTATGTGTTTCTATATATGAGACAGCTCTTCTTATCCTTCACTACATACCACAGCACCATTGATATCATGATGTCCCACTACTGGATGAGATCAGTTCACAGATGAAGCTTGTTGTAGCTGAACTTGACCCAGATGCAAGTGGTGGCATAAGCCAAAGGAAAGCACTGAAGACTATACAGTGCACACCCAAATCTGGTCACTACAGTACATCCGTTAATTGTCCTCCTGGATTCTAGTGGTACAGAGCTTTCAGCCAGCAGCATCTGCAAGTAATACTTTCTTCCACTTCTGTTTGGCTAGGACACCCATCCCATCCCAGTGGACAACCGTCTGGTGTTGGTTCTATAATGCCTTTGTCATCTGCTTTCTGGACTAAGCAATACCACATGAAGCTGTCACCCCATAATAAACTCCACCTAGTGGTGAAGGAAGCAGCATACATTTCCTCAGCAATACAAAGTACTGTAAACCAGGAGTGTCAAACTCACAGGCCAGATGAGTGGCACATGACTGGTCCATGGGCCGCATGGATGGTGTGGGACTGGGCCCATGGACCACCCATCCACTGCACATTGGATTCAGAGCCTGCTGTGGCCAGTTCAGGACTGCACTGCATCCCACACCAGCCAGATCAGGCACCGCACGCAGGTTGCGTCCCAGACCAGTCAGAGCAGACACTGTATGCAGTTCATGTCACATACCTTGAGTGCAGGGCCATTTGGCATGTGCCACATGGGTCAACTGTGACCCAGAGGCAACACTGGGGACTCCACAGGCTGGATGTGACCCACAGGCTGCATCTTTGACACCCCTGCTATAAACAAATCCTTTCTTCTTTCCTTATACTGACTTTCAACAGAACATCTAGACAAACTGATGGTCAAGGTGATTAATGACCTGGTCACCCGTACCTAAAAGACTGGCTGTAACTTCAGAATGAGGAACTTGGTTAACAGCTCTCTCAAGCGTAACAGACCTTCAGTCACAAGAGCCAGGCTGATCTGTGCAGCGGGCAGAGCTTTCTCAGGGGCTGGGTCCAGACTGAGGCATGAACTCCCACATCACAGAAGTGATTAACCTATCCGGAGTGCTACAGTGACATAGCTATATAGCTTCCAACTCAGGAGATGATGTTCCTAAGCATAACACTGACTTGTACTTTGCAGGTATACCTTTATATTACATCTATGTGGCACAAGGCAGTGCTGTACAGACGTTCTGTACTCAGTGAAGCTGAGTTAATTAGAGGTGGTAGGCCTTAAGAGGGAGCACACAGAGTGCAAAAATCTCACAGTATAGCTCTGATGATAGGGAAAATGCATGCGCCTACAGAGAATAGATCTCAGTGGAAGTCACAGAACTACAATGCATGCTTAATCAGGGATTAACAGAAGCACTGGAAGCTGTTCTGCTGTCAACTACTTCTCACTAATGCTAAATTGACAGGATACTTTCCAGTGAAGCAACGCTTTCCTATTGCACTTTTTATGGCATATCAAAGCTGTTGTACTTATCCTTCCCAGGATTATTCAGTTAAGTGCCAAGCTAAAGCTACAGCAATGTGAAAAGATGGAGGAAAGCTAATCGTATGGAAAGTTAAGTGTCACAGTTATCAGTCTAAGAGCTTATCTATAACAAAAAGCTTGAAGTTTCAACTGAACACCCCTCCTCCTTTGGGACTGAGCTTTCAGCTTCACCATTAGGTTCTCTGTTCTTATTTTCAGCTTTTCAGCTTTGTTCTATTCAGTGACCCGCCACAGGAGTTAAACTAACCTCCTGCAGCTTGACCATATCTTCTTGGCCCTTAACAACTCTTTATCACCTAAGGGCAACCTGAGTCTCTTCTTGCGCCTCTTGGACTGGGCCTCTCCCTTCTCAGCCCTGAACTCTGGTTTAATCTTCCTGGGAACGTGATACTCGCCCCTACCCCCATTCCAGGTGTGCCCAAGTAAGACTGAGCTATTAAACTTTAGTAATTAGCCCCAATCATGGATTTAAATTATTCATCATTTCCTCCTTTAAACTAAACTAATACATTTGTATAGAAAAGTTGAGGAACTGAACAAATAGTAACTTCATCTTACTGAGGTCACACAAAATTATTACACATCCATGTTCTTAGATTACTGCACAGCAGCTCCACCATACTTTCCCTTTCAAGACTGTTTATAAGCCCTCTTTTTGCCCCCTCTGCCTCTGGGTGGGAAGTGGGATTAGAATTGTGCACTCCTCCTCCCCTCTACATACAGGCTGGGGAGGGGGCAGAGGGGCACACACAGCTACAGCTGGAGGCATCCCTCCCATTCTGATAGGCTGCTTACAGACATGAAAAAAACAAACGATCCTTTACTTTCAGCTTCGTATGCCCCCACGCCGAGCACAGCGCATGCCCAGAAGAGTCATCATGTTACTTTGACCAGGCTTGCCCAACATCTGTGTAGATTGAGTGCTTCAGCAGGGCTTTTTGGTGCTTTTACATAATAGCTGATTGAATCAGCTTTAGTTTATAACCCCAAAAAGCCCCACTGAAGTACCTGATCTATGCAGACACTGGGGAGTCAGGTTGAACTAACGTGCTGTCTCTTCCAGTGAAGCATTTTTCCCCATCTGTCGGTGCCCCATAATGTGCTAAGTACCCCTTGATTAGCCAGGATGGGGTTACTGCTGTGAAAAGAGCAAGTCCTTTCAATATCTGCTGGTTCCTGCATGTTGGGTGTGAACAGCTTCTCTGGGGTGTTGTGCTAAGCCTGGGTAGACGTCAGTCACCCCTTGGCCGTCCTGACATTGATGTTTGATTTTCCCTCAGGACAGAGTTCTTTTTTTGCCCCCACGGCCATGTGGACTGTGATAGCATCCCCCAATATCCAGGATCACTCCAGTGCTCCTGTGATGGACAGTGGCCTCCTGGCCTCTTCACATTTACCTTAGGCTGGCCTATTATCTGGAAGGAACCACATGTTTCATAAGTAGTTCTTCTCTGCTGCTGTTTTTTCATTCACTTGCTGGAAATGCATTCATATGACCTCTTAGCTAGTTTCCCCACTCTAGACTCTCAGCCATGCTCAGCTATGCCTTAGCTCCCCTGGCTAAAGCAGGCAGTGAACAACCTAGACCACTGAGTCTGCCTAGTGTCCTTTCTCCTTACACACCAATTCACATATCTGCAGACACTGCAAAGGTAACCTGAGCTCTTTCCTTTCATTACTTGTAGGCCCCATTCTAGCTCCATCACCCTATCTGTATTTTTACTAATGGGATCCACTGTATTCCTTCAACCTGACCCAAACCCTTTGCTTTTATAAGAAAGAAGGCTTGACTTTGGCTTCAGTTTACAATATAAGTTCCCAGCAAAACATTAAAAATTATCTTTGGGGCCAGTCAGAGGTCTGTGCTGCAGGCTGAAGAAACCATTTAACATTTGTATGCCACATTTTCATTATATAGAATTTGACTAGAATCAAGAGAGTCTCTGGGTCCCTCCATCCCTTGAATATCTCCCTGTTAATTCCACCTTGTATCCCCACTGAGGGTCAGGTTTGTCTTGTGCACAAATTAAATCAGAGCAACACATGGGTCTCTGGGCTGCCTATACATCCCAGGAGCACCTGGGACACCCTCAAAAATATTGTTCTTTGCCTCAAAGCAAAACCTTGTGAGATATTAGTTCAGTTCCAGTGTAAGACTGTTTCCATAATAAAATGAACATAAACAGTGCTGAAGGCCATGGTTGCTCTATTATTAAAGTACATGTGAAACATGAACCACAGAATCATCAACACATAGATAGGATTTTTCTATGCTGTAAGTTGCTATGTATTAGCAGTCACAGAGCCAGTGACTGTTCAATCATGCTGTTTTATTTCAGGCCTCTGAAAATTTTCCAACTACATTTATTTTAAGACAGGGAGTGGAAGGATTTGGCAATGAATACTCAAATGATGTGTTTGTTGTAGCAGCAGCAGGTCCTCAGGGGTTAGTTTCAGAACTGGTATTTACAAATAACTGAGAGTCAGCAGGGAAAACTTGAACTACTGGTCTTCCTATTGATGTGTATTAGCAGTGACCAGCAATGTAACACTGTCAACAAATAGCTAGATGAAAGGTCAGATAACTACTATCAAAGTTTAAAAAAATAAATGCATTTGTTATTGATTAAAACTTCATTTAAAATCCAGATTCAAGTGAAAGAAATTCTGGATCTTAAAACCTGACTTTAAAACAATAGTCTCTAAGTCACAGCTGTACAGTATTAGCACTGTTAGGCATGCAAACAGTTACATGTGATTCACAAGATAAAGCCACCAAAAAATGCCATATGCATGAGCACAGCCACAGCATGCACACGGCCAGCCCACCAGCTTGAAGAGCAGCATTGGGCTGGTAAGTCTGTTGGGATGAAGGGGAGGGAAGGGGGGTGGGGGCACAGATTAAGGGTCCCATAGTGAGGAAGGGAGTGGGGGACACAGGTGCTGCATGGCCAGGGCAGGGTGTAGGATGGAGTCATAGCTCATTCAGGTGGTGCAGCTCCCGCCACTACCTGCACCCCAGGGGAGTCATGGGGGATGTGTGCCCCCCAGATCTGTGTGCAAGATGAGGGTGGGCTGCTGCTGCACGCTAGAGGTGGGGTGGTGCCAGGCTTTTCCCAGTGGAGGGGCTGGGCTGCAACTGCACTCAGAGCTGCAACTGCGCTCAGGGCAGGCAGCGGTGGTGCCAGGAGGGGTGGTTTGGGGGGCTGCAACCACAAAATTCACCATAGCCCCCCCATCATCCCTTCCAGCACTGCTGCCACCCACCCAAGCGTAGCCCTAGCTCAACCCCCTGCTGAGAAGAGCCTGGTGCCCCTGGCCCCAGCCCACAGTGGCAGCCCACCCTTGGCCCGCACACTGATCTGGAGGGCGTATGTCCCCCAGATCTCCCCCAGGGGTGCACATAGTAGTTGGAGATGCTGCACACCCCAGAGGAGCAGCTTGCAGCTCTGTCCTGTGCCATGGCTCACCCCAGCGGCACCTACCCTTGCCTCAGCCCCACTCCCTCCTTCAACACTGGGGGGGGGGCCTCAATCTTCCCTCCCCGCTTTCATCCCCAACAGACTTAACAGCTGGATGCTCCTCTTGAAGCTGCCAGGGTGCATATCAACAATTGGATTGGTACCGGCCGATATGGCTTATTAATAATTAGCCACCCGGCTTTCAACCACCGCCATCATCAAATTAGTATTTAGAGGTCAACAAAAGAAGCAACTATTTGCCACTGGTTTTAAGAAACTACTGATAAGAACTTAAAATGCACTGCAACCCTGGTGGCTTGCAGAGATTTATAATGCAAGCTCGAATGGCTTGTAAAGGCTGAATTCTCCCCTTTGCTTAACATTGATAATAGGGAGTGAAAGGAAGCAGGAACTGGGGAAGAAACTTATATAAAAAAATGAGTGGCAGCCCCACTAATGGTGAAAGTTGAGCAAAAGCAGCAGGCTCCCATATAACAAAGGAGAAAGTAGTAGTGGCACAGACACAGATCACAACTTTGGGGCTCTCTCCTGCATTAGCTCTCTACAGCAGTGGTTCTCAACTGCAGTGAGAGAAACCTGGGGCTGCTGTGACATCGGCACCACAACTGCTACTGTGGGATGAAACTGCTCACATGCTTCATTCTTCAGGAGGCACGCGAGAGCTGAACTAGAAAGTAGCTGTAGCAGGAGAGTGCACCTGCCTGCATTACATAATGGAGGCAAGCATGCTGCTTTCCTGAAACTTTTGTTTGACTCCAGTGTGTCTCCTGAAAACCAGGGTACATGGCTTATTTCCACTTGGCCATGGTGGTCATAGAGACTGCACCACAGTACTCCCTTGACCTGCCCCCTCCCACGCCCAAGCCTCCTTTTGCCCACTCTATCAGCACTCCCCTCATTGTTTATGCAGCCCAGCACCTCATCCCTGCCAACTGAACATCCTTGGACTCTGCCCCTTTTGCTCCTCTGCTCCAGGGCTGGAATTCAAGGGGAATTACCCTGGGATAACTAAGAACTTGCCTAGTGGTTCCCAATCCCTACTACTGACCCAGAGCCATATGTGGGGAATCCACTGCTGTGCAGGAAGCAAACATGCGCTAGACCAGACACAGCCAGGAAGCACTCCCCATCAGCAGCCTGAAGAAGTAAATATAATATGCTGTAATTATATAATCCATTATTAACACATTTATCCATCAAAAAGTATGTTTATGTCATAATACCTTTATATTAATCTTTTAAATGGGGTGCTGCTAAATTCTAAAAAGTTCTGGAGGACTGTCCCAAGTATAAAAAGATGGAGAGCCACCACTGTTCTAGGAGACAGAAGCAACTTACTGCTGTGGTAGCAGTCAGCAGAATGGGAGACTGCTGTATTGCTGAGAAAAGCCCAGCGTTTATGCTGCTCCTGGAGTGGGGTCAGAAATCTGCAGCTATCCCCAGGTGTCTGAACTACTTTCAGACCTTCCAAAATGTATTTTAAATCAAAAAAGGCAGCTAGAATATACTGCACAATTTACACTCCTTTTGTTAGGTAAGAAATGTGCAGCTTTATTGGCTTCAACAATAAGTATTATAAAAATATTTAGTAAAATATTTAATTTTTTAAAATACAAATATTTAAGCCAAGTAGATCTGAAACATACTAAATAATTTACAAATTAGAATATTTATGCTATTTTAACAAATATGAGAACAACAGTTGCAGTACTTTTTCTTAGTACCTAGAACACCTTTATGGACAGAGGCATCATTCTGTGTGCTAACCCCATCCCTCTCCCCAACTTGTGAAGAGCGACCATCTGTTACATGACTAATTGACACAAACAAGTAGAGACCTGAAAAACTAGAGTAATAGCTGATCCTCTTTTATGTTCCCTCTCTCTCCTTACCCTTTTGATGACTTGAAAGACCTGCACTATTTATTCTCATATATGAAACGCATTTCAGTATCATCAGTTTCCCACTTAGATGAAAAGGGAACAGAATAGTTTTTTTTTTATACTGCACTTCACAACCATATTTTCAGATAACAACATCCCAACTTCATAATAGCAAGCAAATGTAGTTACATTACTCTCTCCAAGCAATACAAGACATCTTTACTAATTTACTATTATCCATCTCTATATTTTGAATTATTCCTTTATAAGTACTTTCAAATAAGAGAGTATTTCAATACCCGATGACCAAACTAGAACAGAACACTCTATGGGACTGAGATCTTGAGACGTTTGAGAAATCAGTTTCTCTAATGTATATCCTTGTCTAGGCATAGCAATATCATTTTTCTTTAAAAATTTTACTGGACACAGGTCGTTGCCTCCATCACCTATATATACAATTTGGGTATAGTTTACTCCTTGCTGTAACTGCTTATCTACAAATTCTTCTAAAACTTTTCTTTTGCATAAGTTCTTAGGGCACTCTGCACAGGAATGATTATGAAAATTCTGCACAGTAAGATATCCAGTGTCACTGAAAGTTGCAGGATTTGTAAACACTTCATCAAACACCCTGTGAAAGTTGCCAGCACGTAAAATCCAGTCAATAAATACTGTATTAGAATCAGAAATGATTATGCAATCAAAGAGTTCTTTGTTCATGCCAATGAAGCCTAGAAGATCTGTCATTCCTGTAGTGAAAGGGATTGTTGTCATCATTCTTTTCATCTCAGCTTCTTTTACTCCATTGTCTCCCAAATAGATAAACACTCTGCCCATGTATTCAGTCCAATGTCCCTTTTTATATGAACTCTTTATTCCAACAGGCAGCTTTTCCTCAGGAGCACATTTCACAATCCAGGTGTCACTGTTTTCATCTATGACTGTATAGTCAAAGTCAAAAGCCAACAGAAACTTCATAGTTGACTGGTAAGAGTCTATTCTGAAAAGAGAAACAAATATTGTGTTTGATATAAGCAGGGCTTTTCCTACATACTGAATTCCTACCCTGATTTCCTCCTTGAAAGTGGAAAATGTTGTAAGAAAGCCAGGATGAACATCTAAACATAGCCAGCTACTTCTGGATGCTACAGCTGAGGGAAACATTATGCTGAACGTAGCAAAGAGTTGGCAAAGGTCTAATACAACATCTACCTATGCTTTTTAACCAAATGATTAAAGAGTAGCTAAACACCACAGTTACTCACTCATCCTTCCAATCTTTTGCGCACACAGTCTTGAGACCCTTGGACACCAACAGCTACACAGCCAGAACTTCAGTCTCAAATCCTTCATCTACAACACTGGCAGAAAACCAGCCCAGGCGCTGGGACTCCCCAGCCTGCACACGGCCCTTGGAGGTGTCTTGCAGAAACCTCAAATACATGCAGCTGGAGCTGCTGCAGCGCTGTTGACCCAGGCCCCGCTCCTCTCCTAACCTGGAAACCCGGGAACATTGTTGGAGCCAAAATGATGAAAGCAGAAAGCGCTTGCGAGGAGAAAACAAGGGCGAGGGTGAACTTATCCCACGCCACAGGCACCTAAAGCACCAGCGTCCGCACATTACAGGTCCCTGACGCACTGGCGCCCTCTGAAGGTCAGTCGGGCCGGGCCGGGCCAGGTCGAGCTGGACTGGGCCGGGGCGAGGGGGCTCTGGGCTGCGCTACCCAGCTCCTGCCCGGGTAACGTCAGGCTGCCCCACAGCGCCGACAGGAGGATGCTGTAGCCCCCACCCCCGTCCCGGGCTGCATCGCCAGAACCCCGAGGGCGAGGTGGAGCAGTACCGGCGCGACCCAGGGGACCTGTGGCTACTGTCGGCCCCAGCCCCACAGGACGTGACCGGGCTTCACCTGCCCCCGGTTCCGGCCACCTGCGGCCCGGCCCGGCCCGGCCCGGGCCAACGACAGCCCCCACGGCCCCGCCCCCGGCCGTTCCCTCCCCCTAACTTCCGGCCCCGCGCGCTACGTCACAGGGCCGCGGCCAGCCAATCGCGTGACCCCTTCGCTGCTCATCCCGGTTGCCCCGGTAACGGGCGCGCGTCTGGCTGAGCCATGGACGGGGCCGCGGGGCGGCGAGGGCTGGAGCGGGCCCTATGGCTGGGGTCGGGCCCCCCCCCTGCGGTGGCGGAGCTGCGGCAGGGGCTGGGGCTGGCGCGCGCCGAGGGGGGCCGGGTCCCGG